TATTTATTTATACAAGAACCAGGAGGGTGAGAGGATTCACCAGAGACAGAGCAGGGAACAGAACAGGCAGACTGACGAAATACACTGCTGAGGGGAACAGCAGGCACGACAGGAGAGGTCTGCCGCGCCATGTGGGACCCTTGCCGGCTGGCCGGAGATCGAACCCACGCTGCAGAGGCTGCGGGCAGCTTCACAGGGCAGCGCTCCACCGCCTGCGCCACCAGGGCAGGCTCGAGACTAAGCATTTAACAATCATTTGAGTGTGTGTAGGTAACAGTCACATTTTAATTCATGTTCTTTAATAATCTGAGCTAAAAGCAGTGTAGGCAAATGGAGATCTATCTGTCTATCTCCTCCCCCACCTCCTTTTAAGTAAACCAGTCTTATCTGTGATATTTTTCATACACCTTTTCTGCCACAAAGTCTTACTTGATTAGATGAGGAATGGACATTTAAGACATGACCCAACAAATGAATTCCTTGGGAAATTAGGGTCTGAGCATCAGCGAGGGAATTAATGAGCTCTGGGGAACAGAACTGAAAAAAGGAGAGTCAAGTGGAACCATGTTTTAAAGGCAGCATTTGCAAGTGGATGAATAAAGCAGAGACCATTTGTAAAGAGAAAAAGAAAATAAAACAAATATATTGAAGATGAAGGTAATAGTCTTTCTTGTGAATCTAGGAAATAGAATAAGTTTCTTCACCACCTTTAAATTCTTGTGAGACTTGGTTTTCATCCTGCGAGTGGATTTTACAAGATGCACACAGAGTTTCTTTCTCTTTCTGCTGGGTATCATTTCACCCCCTTCCCCCGCACTCTTGTACTTTCTTGTTTTCTCCCCCTCTCTTCTCTTTTTCTCGGCCTCTTAATTCTTTCTTTTCTCTCTTTTCCTTTCTTTATTTTCCCCTCTGTATCTCTAGCTCCTTATCCCTCATTTCAGTTGCTCTCTCCTTCCCTCCCTCCCTCCCTTCTCTCTCCTTCTAGTTCCTCATCTCTATTTCCTCCTCTTCATCTCTCTTAAAATTGGAGTTTCTTTACATTCATTTTCCTTTCAATAAACAGAACAGCTAAGTTTTCATGCCCTTAGTCAGACCAAGGGAATCTAAGTTTATTTATCAGTCAATACGTTGTACTGGGGGAGTTCCTCTGTGCCTCTCAAGTGGCACAGAGGCACACCCTATCAAATGGCAACATCTGTGGATGCCTTGTAAGACACTGGGTATTAAAGTGTTGCTGGCCTATTTTGAAAAATAGCCTGAACTGTTAGCAGAGCTATCATCTATTTTCAGACTTGAGAATAAAAATTGTGAATTCTGAAAGCCTGGTGGTATCACTGCTAAATCATAGCAGCTAAATCATAGCTGTTAAATGCTATACTAAGGGGGGCGCCAGGCCCCACATCAGTTTTTGCTAGGTGTTTTCAGCTCCATAAGCCTTTTTGCAATGATCTCTTCTTAAATCATTGAGTAGGAGGGAAGCATAAAATGTGGACATTTGGAATTAAATCTTTCATTTGAAAATTCAATGAATAGAAAGCAATGTGGACTCTTGCAGTTATTTTAAGGTCTGAAGATAATATAGGAAAAGTGAAACTTCCCCTTCCATAGGGAGCTGTAGTTTCACATGCAGTCATTATAGTGAGACTCAATTATCACCTGCCTGAAATAAATAATTTGTTTAAATAACCAAATTTATTCCCTTATTTTTAGCCAAATTCAGTACTCTGTTGTGTAATTTCTATTGAATTCAACATTTTAAAAATATGCATGAATTTCAGAGGTATATTGTTTTATTTACATGTTAAACCATAAGAAAACTGAAACTGTGGACCCACCAGACATCTTTAAAAATATAAAACGTTCTGAATATATTGTACTTTTTTTTTCAATTTATTTTCTTGTTTTTGCTCCCCAGCATCCCCTATATTTCCCTGCCTAAGTTCCAGACAAGCTACACAATAAAAGAGGACTCAAATTTGCCTTGTTGTTTTCAATGTTTAGTCATTATGCACAATATTGACTTTGTTTTTTTTTTCTTGTTGTTGTTGATAACTAATCAGAATGAGAAAGTTCCCTTATATTCTTGGTTGCTTGAAAGCAACCAAGCTGCAATGAAGCTTTCATTTGGTCAAATAAATTCTCTGAATCTATTGAGTGACCATTTAATTTTTTCCTTCAATCTGGATAATACAATGACTGTAAATTCTAACTTCTGGTACAAAATTCTCATGGGAGAGAATCTGATTAGTGCAGTGTCAGATAAGAGAGTAGGTCTAGCCAAAAGTAACCCAGGAAAGGAGACAATTAGGTCTATGGAGATCATTGTCCACTCAGGACAAGTATGGCCAATGGCCTGATGACTGAGGACATTCTTTTCCTATAGTGATGTGCAGTGGAGGAACTGGAAGGTGTTTGCTAATTCTTTGGAGCTTTAATTTTGCTATATTTATTTGGTAGTCCCTCTGCCAATTGAATGCAATTGTTGAGTTAATAAAAGGTAAATGCAAAATGTCATCAACATTCACTGAATGTTTCCTAGTTTGTTATGTCACAAAAGAAAACAACCCCAAATACTATAATCAGTAAGTCATCAGTAAACCATCATTTCAAAAGTGTTTTTCATTTATTTTTGTATGTTTACTGCCAAAGAGCATATATGAGTCTTTTTGCTCGATTAAGGCCAAAATGTTAAAGTAATTTATATTTAATGTAATATACTCAATATACTTAGAAGATTATAATAAACTTGAAATATTTTATTTCTCATTTAAGTATCTTGGAACAATTCCTACTTTGACATTATTGACAGTGATTTTGACTTAAATTAAGCAGCATTTAAAAAATGGCAAAATTATAATAAGCCTGAAAGCATCTGTGCATGGATGATAAACATGTTATTGATGTATGCAGAAAATGAAGGGGCATCATTCAGGTTGTTGCAAGGTAGAACAATAAAGAATAATAAAAGATGCACAACAAAATTAGAAAGACAATGATTTTTAACTCTTATGTACTCTTAAAACTTGGGAGATTTTCTTTTTTTTTTTTAAAGATTTATTTATGTATACAAGAGCTGGGGTGCAGCCAGAGGTGTAGGGATTGGGGACATGAGAGGTTTCATCAGAGAAAGAGTGAGGAGCAGAACAGGCAGATCTACTGAAATACACTGCTGGGGAGCAGCAGGCAAGACAGGAGAGGTCTGCTGTGCCATGTGGATTAGAAACATGGCCGGGGATCAAATTCCTGCTGCAGTAGCTGCCAATAGCTTCATATTGCTGAGACTTCTTGTGCCATAGGGAGGTCCAGTTTGGGGAGATTTTCTATCAGTGAACCATTTTCAAAATAAAACCATCTATCAATTATTAATTGAAAATGCTAAGGATGATGAATTTAATACAATAACTTACTGGGAACTTTACTTTAATTTTGTCAAATTATCAATGATATTTTAATTATTAGCCTCTCCATTTTAGTTTAGAAAGCACTTTTCTAATAAGACTGCATTGTGGAGAGGTGGGAGGTAGGAATCTTTGCAATTTGCAGTGCTTTGCATTGTGTACAATTCACCTGCTTAGTAGTAGAAAATATGGAGGAAAGCATATTTTGGCTAAATTATTACTGAACAAATCTGAAACTATTTTTACATTAAGAAACGGGATATACAAATGGACAATGGTCAGGTGGCATATACTAATGGTATTCTTAATCCTTAATTTGAGAAACCAGGAGGAAAGGCAAAACCATAGCTTCTGCAGCAATCAGCACAGAAAAGATAAGACTGGATCAGTTTCTGACAGGTTCTCTAATATTTGTCTCTGTTTCCAACTCAGGACCAAATAATGAAAGTCAAATGTGCTCTAAACCAACATACAGCACAGCCCACCTCCAGTTAACCCACCCCTCACTTCCTTGTTCCCAAAACCTTCTCTATGAAGTTATGTGAATACTTTGCTCTTTTGTATTCCCACAGTAACATTTCCCAGTCTTCTGACTACCTTCAGTACCTGCCAAACCCATGTGCAAGCATCTGACTCCCTTGCTCTGGTAAGCTCTGAATAAATAGCCTCTTGTCTGTTGTCATTTGGTGCTATTCATTTACTTTCACAGTCTATTTTTCTGTGTCAAGGTACATTAAATATTTACTTTTAAATTTGGATGTTTAGCCATGAATTTAATTTATATATATATTTATATCTGTTGATTCTCAATAATTAATATCTGAAACATTGTTATAATATAATGTTACCTCAGTGGAAAAGGAAAAATCAATAGAACAGCTTATTCTAATTTTTAAAATATGTAAAATATTTTGATATCTTTGAGGATAGATCTGGGGAATGTAAAAGTCTGATCATATGCATTATCTGCTTTAATAATGTTCATTAAAATGAACCTATATCGAGGAAGAGAAAGACCAAAGAATATTAGTGTACAAGATAGCTCAATACATTTCTAAAAGGTAAGTTACCTAAAAGAAAGTTACAGCCTGCTCTACATCATTGAAGAAACATAACTTTTTAAAAGAATCATACAGAGGCTTAACAAGGGAACATAGAAAAAGAAATGTTTGTTTTTTTGCAGAAACCAACTGAATTTTACTAAGAGGATTAGAAAATCTAGTTTTCTCAAATAGAAATATCTGTATTCTGGGTTTTCAATTTTCCAACAGCAACAACCTTCTCTCTGCCCCCTTGCTCTAAACCATTCCCAATTAAGGAGCTCCAACTAAAATACAGAGCTCTTAATTGGCATAGCCAAATGGGGAATTCTGCTTTCCGTAAGATGTAATAAATCTGGGCAAGATCAAAGTTCCCACTACAACAACTAGAAAAAACTAGATAAATTACAATGTTCATGTTTCTTTTTAAGACATGAGATAACTGCAGAGAGAAAAAAGTCCCGACTGGCTAAAATTTCAGAGATGGGATCATCATCCAGTCATGAACTAACAACAGGGAACTTATTTCCTTTTGTGGTGCTTTTTGATTTTGGGGCTGCACTCAGCACATAGGCTAGACCTAAAGTAAGGCCTCCACCACTAGAAAAAGAGAAAAAAAAACTCAGCAAAATATTTAGCAGCTGTGCAGAGAGGGAAAAACAGAATCGGGCAGTCAAGGGGTCCTAGAGTGAAGCTTGGATTTGTGAAGAATTATCTGAAGTCTAAGGTAGTAGAGAGATCAAAAAGCATAGTGTGAAAAGCAAAGTGCAATCTCCTGCTGTCTCCCTGTGTTTAGGAGCCAAAGACACCCTGGGAGGGTCTGAAAAGATGAAGTAAATAAAAAGTCCGAGAGGGAATGGTGAATGGATACTTCTTTACTTGAGGCACCTTTTGATGCTGGCCACTGCCTGGTAGCTGAAGAGCATGAGACTCTGGACTGGACTCTGGCAGAGGCTGCTTCTCAGAGCAGAAGTTGGCACAGTCACACTGTTGACCAAATAGGAGGTATGAAGAGGCCCAGTTCCAGCAGGCTCTGGAGATAAGGTATAAACTTACTCCAATTCTCATAATTTCTCCATGTTTCTGATAACATTTGTACTGTGGGATAGGAGCATAAAATATGTTGCAGACATAAAATAGATCTATCCTTAGTGCTGAGGAACTTTGAAACTGTTTGGCTCAATCCCTTAATTTAGAGATAATTTAGTGACACACAGAGAAGGAAGGTATTTGATTAAAGAAGCAGCTATTTAGAAGAAACCAGGACTCACAGCCATTTTGTTCCAGCCTACTACTAAAAATGTACTTTCCACATATTTTATGAATCCTAATTTGTAGTTGAAAGATTGTTTATTAGGCTTTTTATTTCTAATCATCTGTTAAATCTTTATATATCAGAGAAGAGAGAAAAAAAACAAAATCTTTTTTTTTTTGAGGAATGCATATTTACTATCAGTTGAGTATAAAATTGAATGATTTAATTTCCGAAGTTTCCTTTAGAGTAGATTGCTATTCTATAAACGAGGAAAGAGAACTGTGGGAAATTTAGACAGGAATTAAAAAGCCCTAATGTTAACTATCAGAAGAGGATGCATAGAAAGTCAGTATCAGAGAGAAGTTTCCTGTAATAAATGTCTAGTTATGTGAACAGTACAGAAATGTGTTAAGAATACTATGTGTCAAACATGTATGAAAGAGAACAATAAATACATATTTGACTGCATGTATATAAAATGTGTCTGGAAGGAGATAGAAGGAATTGATCACATGCCTTATATCCTGACAGAGAATCAAGCATTTAGAATGAATGAAGATATTTTAATATACAGCGTTTGTTAGACTTTGATTGTGGCTATTTAAATATGTTGCCTATTCTAATTTCAATTATTACAAAGTTAAGGTAGAGGTCTGAAAAACCTAAGGTGATGCCCAAAAATAAATAATATTTTATAATACCTTATACTTGTTAAACACATTCATTGACCAGGCATTTTACATGTTCTCACCTCACCGAATTCTTAGATAAATCTCTTTGTTCAGATTTTGGGAAACTAAGGTTTGGTAAGTTTGTCTTTTAAGTTCACTATAGGTTTGTCCCTGTGCAAAAGATAGTTAGAGCATCAAGCATTTGCCTTCAATATGACACTAAGATATTAATCAAATATTCAAATAAATTTTGCTCTACCACATAGCGTTACAATTTCCCCAAGTGTCTCTTGGTAAACACTGCCAAGTTACTAAATCTATATTCTAAAATTTGATTGAAACTGATTTTGAAATAGAAACATTATGCAGACATCAGAAAGATCGACTGTGGGTCTAGAATCTTGTTCATTATAGTTGTAATCTAAATGTCTTCTGCAAGCACCAAGCTGCACATATGGACCTCAAGTCACTCTGCCCTTAGACTGTCACCCCTTCCTGACACTGAGAATAGTCTTCAAGGCAGAGGACCAGTTTGTGGCATGCTTAAAGCCATGTGGGAAGCATTTTCTTCATTGACTGTGGAGATTGAATGTGAGTTTAGGTTCATCTTTTGAAAAATCTTTCTATCATTTAGTAGGTTGTCGAATACCACATTTTGCACATAGAGTTGCCCATACAAATTTTATACTTTATTCTAACATCTTATGTTTGTGAGAGCAGACCAAAAAGCTATGTGAGATCAAATGAACTCTAATGTTACATTTCTAGAATCCTGCTTTGTGTTTTGTTGAATATCTGAAAGAAGAGTAACAAAGAACAGTTCTTCAAAGGTTCTAAATAATTCCTAAAATATCAAAATGTGTAATACTGTATCTTATCACATCAAATGTTACGAATCTCTGAGTGCTTCATGTTTTTGTGCTAGAAATGAGTAAGTTTATCTCAGTTATTCTAATGGGTTTGAAAAATAGCGCTCCAATGTCTATATTATTACTGCACTCAGAATTGATCCAGTATGCTAATTATTAATCATCTTGGTAAAAAAATTCTCTTTATATTGCCCCTCTTTTTTAATTTTCATATTTATTTGCCTTAACACAATTGTTTATTCAACTTCAAAAGAATTTCAGAGATATGACTGAAAAATTCCTGTGCACTACCATAAAATCTTCTTTTACAATATGAGCTCAATAAATTACATTCCAAAAATTATTTTAGTGACTTATCAGTATGTCTAAAGTAATTGAAATTCAGAATTATGAATTCCGTATGTCAATGTTGTTAGTATAATAACTATAACATTCTAGTATTGGATTTCATCTCCTGTAGCTATTTTATTTTAAAAAGAAACCATAATTTTCACAAGCAAATTGAAACATCCTAAATACTGAATTTCATTTGAAACACTATATTCTGTTGAATAATGATATAATGTATTTAACAAATCCTGTTACTAGACCTTTTTTGTAGCAAGGGAACAATTGGTTTCTAAATTTCACTATGACACCTCTCATTTCACTAAAATGGTACACCACCTGAAAATAATCTAGCACAGGATTATATCTCATCCAGCCCAATGGAGATGGAAACATTTAAGTATCTTTTTGGAATGAAGGAAATGATATCTTTAATGTGCCTTTCTATATACTGTGTCAACCTCATAGTTAAATTTACTATGAACTCATACCAAGCCCAACTCATGGTCACACCTCTTATCCCTTTATTAACCTTTAGGTTTTTACAATCTGTTAGGCATAGATGCACATCTGTTTGACAGACCATAATCATACCAAACCACCTGCCCAAGTATTTCAAAGACTACTAGTAAAAATACCTTGAGTGTAGAAAATTTTCTGTGCACCACAACCCTCATGACCCTGTTTTCAGCAACTCACATGGTTGACACCTGTGGTTGTTTGCTTCTGGATTTGGCTGAGGTTCTAAGATGTTCCATCATTTAACAAGAAGAGGATCCAAATTAACCACAGGCCATATAATGAAAATTATTTAATAAATACTTGACCCAAGTGAAAATTTAATTTGGATTAAATATTTTGGGTTCAGATGATATTATAGGATTCTCAAGATTTTTATAAGCAATATTAAAGTATATGAAAATAATTTTATTTTATACTGTTTATTTCAAAGTCATATAAAAAAATTGATTAATCAGTACAAGGTGGGTTTGCTATCGTGTAAGTTTTTTTCCTTAAAACTTTCTAGTTTTTTTCATAAATATTCTGTATCTACAAATTATAACTTATGCTATAAAAAAGGAATGTACCCAATAGTTAATAAACCTGCATTGAATTAAAGGCAGATGAGTTAACAAAAGTACATTGTTAGAAAATGTCTAAATATCTATCAAATGATACATGGAAATTAATAAAACTGTTGCTAAGATTAATTGGTGTTTTTTAACTATGGTAAGCTACTGGATTTAGAAACAGTAACAAGCAAGTATGTACTATTTATGGTATAACTGATGGCTCCATATTTTTATAAAATGGAAAGAAATATTTAACTCACATCATGAAGCTGAATTAGGTTTTGATTATAGAAAATATAGACCAATAGCCATATGTTTAGCTTATGGTATTTGTGAAAAATGTAGTCCAGATAGCTTTGCTAACCTTTTAACAAACTTGTAAGATGTATAGAAGAGACATGAGGGATTCAATTTGAAAAGGAGCAAGGAAAATGAAAATAGGAGTGGCAGTGACCATTGTTGTTTTCTCCAAATCTTAAAGGAGTGATATTTATGAGCAATGAGGTTTAAAAATAAGAAAATAAGATTTCATAAAATGGCTTTGATTCTAATTATAAGAGTTTTATGTTATCTTGAATAATAAATCATAGAAATTTCATCTAGTGCTAGGGGCTGAATCCATTATAAATGTTTAGTTTTCAAGTGTCTGGCCTGTTATTTCTCACAATTCTCACTAGAGTTTTAGTATAGCTGCAGTTACTAGCAAACTGTTTGTAAAGCAACCAACCCATTCTGAGCAGGTTTATGAACGGTTCTAGCAGCCACATGCTCTTCGCCGTGGTTTGTAGTCGCTCCAACACTCCTCCGTACACTCCACTCCTCCACCCTTAACACCGCACTACCACCACACCGCACTCTGCTGCACCACCCTTATATTATCAGTCTTTTAGCGCAGGTGTACCCACTTCAGGTGCCCGCCATCAGGCATGCACCCAGGATCACAGGGCTCTCTCATCTATCCTGATGGCGGAAGGGCAGAAAAGCCTGATACCTTTTACCTTACCCTACACTGTTTGTTCAATGAACACATTGCAAACAATTCTTAATATTTTTACATTACAATGTCTTTTTGAGGACAATTTTTCCATGAACTCAGAATTCGAGAAGTTATTTAAAAGTATCTTGTTACATGTATATAAAATCTGTTGGCAATGAGTAAATGAACACATACTATTTTCACAGTAAAAATACATAAGATTTTGTAGCAAAGGACAATTTAATTATTGTCCAACGATTTCTCTAGAATAAATGATTTCTTTTACATTGTATGCCATGTCTTTGGCAGATTAAATGTCATTTGGTTGTTCTTATACTACTTTAGTAACATGGTAAATTATTTTAAAATAAGATGAAAGCAAAATATATTTACTACTGTACATTATAATTGGATACCACATGCTTTTCTGGAAAAACAAGACATCTATCAAATATATGTCTATTCTAATATATATTCTAATATATATAATCATTATAGATGAAAGACATAGTCACATATGTCTTCATGGTTCTTTTTTGGTTTAATTGAGTGTTTTACAGAACTGTGATGAAAATATCAGTAAGATATAATTATGTCGTCAAGGAATCAGCAGTGAACACAGGATTTGTTGCTGCTTCATTACTCCTCATAATTCTAGTGGCTTGTTTTTTAATATAGGTGTTTGCAGTTATCAATCACTGAGAGAAATCTCAGGTTTTCTCCCTTCAATAAGCTTTCACTGGCTTGTTGCTGCAAGGAGTGCATTTGCCTTAAGCAATTGGCTTAAAAGCGCTTGTAATTCAGAGGAGAACATTTTATGTTGTCTCTGTGAAAACATTAAAATTATAACTTTCTGCCAAATTTATGGATGGA